TATAATACTTTATTTAATGGATAGCATTTCACTGTACTACAAGTAGTATATTGTACTACATTGTGACACTTTTTAAAAGTAAATTTCTAGTAATTTTAAAAATTAAATTTGTTTGAAATAATTTTATATAGTTTGTTAAGTCTTTGGCTATACAAAAAACTTTTTTAGTAAATTTAAATAGCATTTTTGGTTTTTTGAAATTTTTTTTTGACTTGAATACTTTAGTTTAATCTAATTTTATATAGTACTTACTAGTGATTTTATAGAATATTTTATTTATAAAAATTTTTTTTATTAATAAATTTATTTAAAAAATTTATAAAAATTGTTAAGATAAGTTTATAAATTTAATTATAAAAATTTCTTTAATATTAAACTAATATATAAAAAATAATTTGACTTTAAAGTTTTTACTAATAGGTATTAAATAAAGATTATTTTAAATCTTATATTAAAAAATAGATATAATTTTTCTTAAAATTTAAAGCAATATAACTTAAAATAAATTAGTTTTAATATTAAGAAATTTTTATAATTAGAATTAGATAGTTATTATTTACAACCTTTATTAAAAAATTTAAAAAATTTATTTGATATAAAAATTTTTTAACTATAGTAATATTATAGCTAAAAATCAAAAAACCTATATAAATTACTAAAAATAGTAATAATTTTTAAATATTGCAATTAAGTCTTATAATACAAGTTGTATTTTTTATTATATAACTAGTAATAATTTTTTAACTACAATAAGATTTAAACCTTTTTTATATAATTCAAATTTATTTTTATAAAATTATTTAATAATTTTAAGAGTAATATTTTTTTAAATAGTGTACTACAGGTAGTACACTAAAATTTGCAAAATAATAGTAAATAGAAAATATTTTTTATTTCAACAACTTTATTAATAATATTAAAAAAAATTTTGCCAAACTAAACTATAGTATTTATCAGATTTTTGTATATAAAAATTTTTAAGATATATAATTTTTTGAATTTTTAAATGCTTTTCTTCAACTGTACTACCGGCAGTACAAAATGTGAAATCCTATCCATTAATATAAAAAAGAAAACCTTCATGACAATTATAAAAAAATCTTTATAATTATTATATAAAAATAGATACCCTTTATAATATAATATTAAAATTGATTAAAAATTCTTTACAATTAATTTCATAAAACAAATTTTTGTAAATAATGCTAGAAAAATAAAGTAGCTTGAAAGTATATATTAAATAACACATTTTATAGCTATTGTGTGAACTTATATCTTTTATTGAATCAATTTGAGTATATCATATTGTATCTGTTAAATGCAATATGTGAATTAAGTATTTAGAAATTATAATAGCTAATTAGAATAAAGATTTTTATTAAAAAAATTTTATATATTCTATTTTTGTCTAATTATTTTAGCAGACAAACTAGTTTGATAAACTGGATAGTTTAAAGAGTAATTTAAATTTTGCAAAATATAAAATTATTAAAACAAATTTTATTAATATTACTTATATTTTATTTTATATTAGCAGATTTGCATAATTGATTCTGAATTGATCCTAAGTTGTATTCTCAAATTTTGTAGCAAATAATTTAAGAAGTAAATAGATACAACAATATTATTATTGTATTTATTTACTTCTTAAATTATCTTTATATATACGTATATTTGTTTGCTACAAAATTTGTGGTTCATTTTGCAAATAACTTTAAGAATATAACTTAGAATTAATTCAGGACCAATTTTGCAAATCAGCCAATATGTTAAACTATTTTTTAAAAAATTATTTATTATAATCTAAACTCTTCCTTTTTGTAAATTAAAAATTTATAATAACAAACAATACTTTTAATAATATTTTCAATAAAGCTACTATATAGAAATCTTATTTTAAAATTTTATTACTTGAATATTTTATAATAATTAGTATACTAAATTAATATTGTATTATTCTTTTTAGAGAATTAGTTAAAGATAATAAAAATGATATTAATAATATTTTTTTATATTTTTAGATGAAATTAAAGCAATTTATAAAAATTCTAGTTCTTATATGTATGCTTAACAAATTTGCAGAATAATATTATTAAGTAAAAATAAATTTATCTTTTAACTTGGTTTATTTTTTTATGACTTTACAATTCTAATTAGACAAAGCATATTAAAAGCAATTCTATAATTCACATTTAAATAGAACTTATTAAAAATAAAAGTTAGAACAACCTGGTAGTAAAAAGCAAAATGTATTTGATACTAGCAGGAAAAAATTTATTTTTATATTATTTTTTCAAAAAAAGAAAGATAAATAAAAAACTATAATTTAAGCAAGTATATAATAACAAACCAACAAAACTGAAGGTTATAATTTTATTTATTATGTATATATTAAATTTTAACAAAATTGCTGCATTTTAAATTGTTATAATAATTACAAAATAGGTTAGGTTATACATGATGCATTTACTTTCATATTTGCCTTTACAGCATATAAGAGAGAGTTGAGTATTCATGCATGGGGCACTATAGTGCACTTAATTTTTTTTCGCTATATCTTATTGGCAACACTCAGAATCAAATTATATTGTTATTATTTAATTCGTTTCATTGAGGCAATTTAAATCATATAAAAATTATATAATTTTAATTACTGAACTACAAAAAAATGAAGATCAAATACAATAGTTCACGTATTATTCACAGGTTTAATTTTCTTTTACTATGTATTTTCTCACAATACAGTACAAATTACATAGTGAGCTATAATATCCAACCTGTAGATTTTAAAAGTTTAAATTTTGAATGTGCAACACTTAAGTGAGCCATAATACCCGACTCTATAATCAATAATGCACAAATTTAAATATGCGAATTTACAGTTTACAGCTGAGCAGTGCAATTTAGTGTATTCTTTTTATTATTATTTATTCGTACATAGTACTTATCTTCTAACAGTATTTTAAAGCACATATAAAAGGCACCAACCAATCCAAATCAATATATTCGGTAACCTAGTATATATTTCGTGATAAAAGATTATTCTGCAAAAATTTTGCGATTGGTCAGAATTACGAAAGCCGGCCAGCATTATAATTCACAAATTCTGGCCAAATTAATGTCAGCCAGCATTATGATGACTTTAGAATCTAAATACAGGTCAAGATTTAAAAATGATCTAAACCAATTTCGTGAGCTAGAAAATCATTGTTCTTGCACCTGATCTTGAAATCTGATTTGTTTGCGCTACAAAATTGTCATATAATCTGATTATTTTTAGTGTAACAAAATATGATATATTCCGGGCATATAATGCTACGCATTTTTCCTTAGTATTATTATTCAGACACCTCTTCGCAAAGTTATTACCTAAGCATAAATCTAAAAATTAATTTGAATTTTTGAGTGAAGTGATTTTTAACATTTGTTAAAAATTCATAAATACTTAGCTCAACACTTTTAATAAAATGAACAAAAAATTTGCGTATTTTTAATATAATGTGTACACATAGAATGTATCGGATAATTGAATGTAATAATCTACTATAAGTGCTACAAGATTTTTAAATATGTATTATGTTGTCTAATGTTGTAGCTGGTTGTCTTAATAACTTAATAAAGCTCCTATTTGGCATTTGAAAAAATCTTTGTAAATATATCTTTAAAGTACATTTACATTTCAAGTGTTACGACACATATCAAATATTATGGAAATGCCAGTTATAATTTTCTGGCGTGTCATTACTTTGTATATATCTGCATCTATAGTTAACGTCAATTTTTTCAAAAAACAACATTTACGCATTATATTGATCCTTGTGACTTAATTGTTCACGTGCGGTGAAAATTTCTTTTAGTTAAGTACCATTTTCAATTTTAATTAATTTTGTTAGCTATTACAATATCGAGATCTCATATAATCAAATTGATCAATTTCAATGTCATTATGGTAGAAAGACCCTTAGCTTTCAGAAACTCATGCTGTGAAAAGCGAGAAACTTGTTTAATAATGACCACATGCTGAAGGTCCCCTGCAGCTAAAAACAATAACCTCGAAGGAGTTAACAATATTGAAACATCGAGTGTTTTCAAACAACCTTCCCTTGAGTAGATAGATATCCATTGTCGGACCATTGTTGGTAGTGCGTCTCATGGATTGCTCATGATTCATCTCATGCTGCGCAGAAAACAATCAGACAATTGTAATATGCAGGGTAACAAATACATATCGATGCCAGGCAATTTCTCGCGCTAATCCTTTTTTTTTTAGTTAGTTTTTTAGTCGTAGAAAATTTTGTTTTTGTACAGCAATATTAGTAAAAAGTTTCTTCTTTCACTATTTAACAAATTTTGCTTAGAAGATTGAAAAAAAAAGGACTAGTGCGAGAAATTGCCTGGCATCTATATGTATTGATACCCTGCATATTATAATTGTTCTAATTGTTTCCGCACAGCATGATGAAACACTCATGAGCAATCCATGAGACGCACTACCAACAATGGTCAAACAATAGATATCTGCTCAGGGGAAGGACCGATTTTTTTGCTTGAAAGCGCCCATAATAAATTTAATAACTTTGAGACGTTTAAATCACTATATACTGTACGTACCATAAATTTTTCCTAACAAAAAGTCTGTGATACTCAACGTGATTCTGTGATTGGTCACATGCAAAAATGCAAAATGAGCACATTTTCGTTTAACAAACAAAATACGTAAATGATTCCTAATTTGGATATCTTATTACACACGGACAGTAATCTCCGATGGGTATAAAAATGGTCGACATTGGCTTTTGGGATAATGAATGATTAATCACGTATTTCCTTCACAAATCGATATTGATAGATATTATTAGAATAAAAATTTCGGAAAAATGTAAGACCTTTTTTATTTTTTTTAATTATATTATACTATTGTAATTTATGTTATTAAATACATGTATACTTAATATTACGTAACTAATCTGCAATATCTGCAAAATCTACAAATGGTTAAGATGTCAATAAATTCACTTTCAACCGAAATTTTACAAGAGATCGTTAAAAATTTAAGGCAGAATGATATGGTCTCATGTTTATTAGTAAATAGAGAATGGTGTAAAAATTCAGTTCCACTTCTATGGCAGGATCCACAATTACTTCGCGGCAAATGTAGTAAATATAGAGTACTTGCAAGAACTTATATGCTTTGTTTTACTCGAGAAGAAAAGAAATTTCTAAAGAATAAGGGTGTACCTATCCCTCCTGCTCCACATCGACGTCCTCCAACATTTGATTATCCTTACTTCCTTCGTAAAATTAGAATTGGCTTTATTCAACGTCTAGCTTTTGAATGGATATACAGGAAACGGTCCGTGAATCGAACGGATGCAATTTTACATTTAAATAAAGGATTGCAAGAACTTCTTTTTAGCAGAGCTCAAAGAATTGAATATATTTGCTTTGATTCAGAATGGCATTTTGCTGGACGGCAATTTCAAAGTTGGCAAAATTTGAAGATTATCGAAGTATCTGCAGGCGCTTACAGCTCTCATAATCCAAGTTCTTTTTTACAAACTATAGTGAATTCTTCGTGCAATAATATCAAAATTATCCATTCTGACATTGATCGAAAGCATAAAGATTGTGATAATCTTTTGTCTCAGTTGATTACAAATCAACGGTCATTAGAAGAGATCAAATTAGGCTCATACTTTCAAGTTCCTCAATCTATAAGTACTCTAAAGTGTTTAAAATTTAATAATGTTGACTTTTCTGCTTTTAGTGGAGATTTTGCCAAAAATTCACTTGAAACAATAGAGTTACTTGAAATGCGCTCCTGTCGACTAAAGACTGACCATTTTCTTAATAATGTCCTTAAGATGAACAATTTACGTCAATTTACATTCAATGATCATAGGTTGAACGATCCATCTATTCATAATTTTTTTGTTAAATTATTAAAAACTATTAATAATTTAAAATATCTTGCCATACATTTCGAGTATAAAGATCAACAAGCGTATAGTTTGGTCGAAGCAATAGCACCACTCTGTTTACAACTTGAATATTTAAAGTTACCTTCATTTGATATGAAAGAACTTTTACCATTCATGAAATCTTTTGATCAATTAAAATACCTTCGAATTGATTTGGACATTAGATTAAATTCAACATTATTTTTGCAAACTGCTAAAGAGTTACCGTCAAGTTTACAACATTTGATCATTAATGATCAAAAATATCAAATACATCAAAGATATAGAAAAATCAGGAGAAATTATGTTTCACTTGGCGTCGAAGTTTATAAAAAATTCTTTAGCTCAATTAATTGTAAAGAATTAAAATCTTTATATATTTGTAGTGATTTCTTACCGTCAGAACTTCAAAATCTTAATATTAAATGGCAAAATAAGGAAATGCCGGAAAAAATATAATTTTGTTGGATATATATATATATTTATTTTTGGATGACTTTTTATTTTCGCAACGTAGATGATAATTTTTTATTAGAAAAAAAACAAACAATTTTTCTTTATATTACTTTTAATCGTATTAATAAAAAGATAGATATGTAAATTTCTTTTGTTTTGCAGGCGAAACCTTGTTGATTTTTTTGTATTTTTACTTTTCTGGATTAATAAATTATATATTTCTGAAAAATTTTGATGGAAACATTAACACTAATGCACGTCAATATCATATATTAATAGTTTATTTGATACTGAATTTGGTTAATATTATAAACGTTCTCATTTATGAAATGTTAAAAATTTATTTAATAAATATAATGTCACAGTGCTGTCCGGCGAGCCTCCGCATGTCAGCAAAATAATTTCGGCTATACTCGAGACGTACTGTACAGCTTGGCGAATATCTAAACATTTTCTCTAAAACATTAAAACAATTCAATATTTATCACCTAGAAGTTAATTAGCACTTTAGCTCTTCCAGCTCTTAATAACTTCTAGGTACGACAGATAGTTTCTAATGAGAAATACTGTAAATATTAAAGAAATCAAATAATGTAGTTGTTCTTAGATTACATGTTATTCAAGGAAATTTTTCCTATGGGTTTTATCTTTTCTAAAGGTGCAGACATATTGACGTAATAAGGTCGTACCTCAATATAAAAAAGTTACCAAACCTGTTTTTAAAATGGGCATAATTAATTACGACAATATGTCTGCACCTCTAAACTCCAATCACAAATAAAATTTTATTAATTAAATAAAAGTTATTTATGTTCACAAATGTGAACATAAAATAAAAATTTTTTAAAAAACTTAGGTTCTCGTGAATACTGAATACATGATTTCCAACACTGGTCATATGTACGAAATTTAATGTTCTTTTGTACGAAATTGAGATAGGGTATTACCTAAAAGACAGCTGTATAAGTAGAATTATATTCTATTCGAGCTTGAAATAACCATTCAATCATATCCATTTGATCCATATAAAGTTTTCCTTGTATTACTAACAATTCGACCATCGATGAATAATGATGGTGACTAACTAATCATAAGAGAATGTCTAATGCCAAGTAGTTTTTCAATACTCTACCCGGATCGTTAGGAATTATTAAATTTGGAACTATTGTATCACATTCAGAATTACGTACTTACAGGATTGTGATTTTATAATTACTGTAAAACTCGGAAAATAAACACTATACCTTTTAACGCTACTTTTTCATCTCGGATTAGTGGAAATGGGAATAAAATATTTACTCAAGTTATTCCCGTTAATTTAAGATTGAAAAAAGTAAAGGATATTTTAGTGCTTATATCTGAGTTTTACGGAATCTGGTTTTTTTTCAAGATTTACAGTATATATAATCATATCAAAGGAAATTCATTATTATATGCCACATGTAGTTTAGATTTACATAAAATATATATATTATTTTATGAACATGCACCATTGATAATGTGAAAATCATACCAGGAACGGAATAAGAAGTACGTAGAGTATGATTTAACGGCAGATCAAATTATTGTGTGCAATTCTCAACATCTGATTAGATATTCGTTCCTCGTGATTTCAACTTGGGATTCCTATATTTGTATGTTATATAAAATTTCATGTACGTACGTTGTAAAAGGGCGAATCTGGGGTGACTATAATTCATAGCAAAAACACAACCAAAAAAGACAAGGCTACTCGAAAAAGGGCGTGGAAGATTTGGTCCGAGAACCAAGGATCTTATCCTTGGGGTTATCGTAAGATGGTCTCTATTAATACTTCACTACTTTTCAGTTACATGAAGTCAATGATTATTTATACATTACAGATAACCTTTGGGCTTTGCTACAATCTCTAACCAATATGACTATTTAAAGTATCGGGAGAATCTATGACTAATGATGAGTAATTCATACTTATTTTATGACTATGACTTTAGTTCCCACCATTGAATATCTGAGGCGTCTTACTATTGTTCTTCAATGGAGCATCGCCTCAAGCCAAACCAAAATTGGCATTTATTAAATTTCTTCGCTTTTGTCGATCAATGCGCATTTCAGGTCCCGAGTCATATGCTTGGATCACGTTTTTTCTGCGGCCGGTCACGTTACCCACTCACAACGTACATATCAGAAACGGAATATACGAAACACGTGAGTGTGGTATGTCGCGTAAAAATTTTCCTATTTTTATACCAACACAGCATAGCGGGCTTTAAATCTGATTGGATGATCGCCCAGAATGTTTTACAATATGTTTTGCATATTAGTGTAACGTTTCTCAGTCACAAAAATGGAACCGCAGCCATGAGCACAAAACCGCAGGGGTTGCAGTATAG